GGAATCAAACACAAGGAGCTGTGAAACCCCCCTTCGGTATTGTATGTGTGTGTGCGCATGTCTGTGTGTGTATAAACATGTGTGCAAGCATGTGTGAGCACGTGTGAGGGAGTGTGTGTGAGAGAGTGTGTCTTTGCCCCCTCATTAAACCATGCTTTACTCTGGTAAATGGCAACAGCACAGAGCTCAATGTCAACTGAAGAGGTAACAGCCATAGGCAGGCTCTGACACACACACACACACACACACAGAGACAGGGATACACCAAGTCTCTCGCGAACATGCGTTATCTAACAAATGCATGAACGGCACACCCAGCTCATTTTGAACTGGTGGTAAGTTTCCAAATGTGTGTTACTTTTGTCTTTGTTCTGACACGGCAGACAAAATGGAGAGTGTCAGCCTCTCCCGGCCCCATGCCAGTGTGAGCCGGACATTAGCGATTCACGCATCAAATTCATAAATCAAGGGCACCCTTCACCACAGTATAAATGGAGCACAGGGACCGGCAACTGGCTGTCTGCTTACTGTATCACTCTGGGTTTCTATAATGGATCCATAGTACTTTTTCACCTGGTTTTGACATTAACGTCGTCCCTTCTGACACATCTCCTCCCACATGTTTGTGAGAAATATCGTAGGAAACGTAGAAATACAATGCATGCATATTTAATTCAATGTATATATTTAATGGCTTACAAACAACAATAATGACATGAATAATAAATCACACTCGCCCATAGACAGAGACACAAGCACACTGAGCTCTGTGTGAGCTGTAAATTGGAGCTCACACAAAGCTGAGATAAGAGAGGACGCACAGGTGAGTGAGAGTGAATTTTTACCTGAGATTAGGAGCCTTTGTCCTTCATTTTTTTTTCCTCTGTCGAACATGTTCGGTATCACAAGCAGACATTGTGACTATGTCAAGTCTCTCTTATCACCTTCGATGTACTGAACAATCAAGAACAGCGCTCGTGTCAAACATGCAACATCGATCAAACCATTAACCAGGACACACACGCGCGCACACACACCCCTAATCTGTTGCCATGGCAACACCTCTACCCTTGACGCAAACGCACACACACGGGGAGGCAGACGGGGAGGGGGGGGGGGGGGGGGGGTGTCTAAAATGTATATGCTTTTTGATCTGCTTCCCATTCCAGCGATCATGTTAGCGCCATGCAGCGGCACAGCCAGCCAGACACGTGTGTGAACTGTCAATAGCTGCCTTCACACCGCACAGCTGCCAATGTATCACTGCATGACGAGAGCGGAGGGGACCCAACAAAACACTGCATGTTTCATGTCATATTACTTCATAGCGTTAACACCAGAACAATGCCATGTGCTAACGCTTGCTTCCTGCACCCGTACAGCTGAGCGACATCACATGCAGAGAGGCATTGTGGCACAGACGGCTGTCGTCTGTGTGATGTGCTGAAGTCTGTACCGACCCATTTGACAGTTGCGTCACTTGAATCATAGTGTGTGTGTGTGTGGGGGGGGGGGAGCTGCTCTGAAGTAGAAGCCTTTAAAATGCACATTAGATCATGCAATGGCATGCTCAGTCGCATCGTGCGTGAGTGCATGTTTTGTAGTAAAAATGTAAGCTTTTGAAAGGGAGTTTAACTCAGTATTCCCCTCAGTCTGTCTTCTGAAAATATGAGTCAGGATGTCGAGGGTCCCCTCATAAGTGTAACCATATCTTTTCATGAGCTTGATACCCAGGACCAGACTAAAGTTTGTAATTGTCTACATTTGAAAAAAGTTTTATAGCCTCCGTATTTCAGTGCTCCATAGAAGTCGTTCTCGACCGATGGATGAAGCAGGCTCGACATTCAGTCTGTCCACCTGAGTGTGGTTTGTTATCTAAAAGTAGTCTATAGTCTATTACCATGGACAGATACACATACACCCCCAATCTATTATTGAACAAAAGGCTCACGCCTCCGCTCAGCCCTTCAGGGAGGAATCCATCCCTCCATCCCAGAATAATTTCACACATCAGTAGATACACAAAAGAGAGAGAGAGGGGGGGGGGGGGGGGGGGGGGGGGGGGGGGGAGAAGAAGAGAGGGAAGGAAGAGAGGAAAGGACAGAGAAGAGGAGGCAGAGAAGTGGATGGGGTAAAAACGTATGGGGTCACAGCTCAGTGCTTGTGGTAGGCCAAGGTGTCGGAGGGAGCCATGCGTGACAAAACAGAGATCAGAGAATCATATGCAATCACGCACGCAGACAAGAAAACAAACGCACACACACACGTGCACATGCGCACAGATAGCCACACACATACTTGCAGATACATACTCCTGCATATAAAAAGGTGAGAAAAAGGACATATTAGATGAAGACTTGTCAAGATTGGGTCTGACTTAATCAGAGGCATCCTCATCCAAACACAGAATGGTAATGTCTTTATCTATCACAATCTCTTCTTATTCACGAACACACACACACACACACACACACACACACACACACACGCACGCACACACTCTAAGGATAATCCCAATTCTACATGCAGACAACAGTGAGGATGAGGAGACACAAAACCAATTTTTGATTTCCTTACGCGTAAGCGTATGGAAATGAAGCATTGTATGGAAACTCACAAAGGCACAAATGTATACACACACACACCCGAACGCAAACACACAAGTGTGTCCGCACACCAAATAATTACTGGGCGTTTTTTCGACACACCATTTGTCGATACCGCATCGCCACACTTCATGAACAACATCTAGACCAGAAAGATATTATACTTGAACACAAACAAACAACACACACTAAGGGGACGCGACTGAATAAATAAATTGAAAGCTTCACATTTGACAGCTGATTTGACAGCTGGAGATCCCACGTATACAAATTGTGTTACGCCACAATCTAAGGTGAACGTACAAACGCGTGTCTAAAAGTATAAAATGTGTCTTAAATTTGATGACCAATGATGATTTCAATTTTCAATATGCTGCTGCTGAAAACTGCTACACTTCCTGCAATGTCTGCAATACAGACAGATAAAAATCGACACAAGCAGAAAATAAATCAATTCTTTTGTTAGAGCAGCTTCAAAAATAATCGACCGCAATAATCTTGAGCTGTGCATATATCCCTAACAGACACACTCACTCACACACACACACATACGTAGGCAGACACACACACAGACTGAAAAACATACATGCACTAGACGCACAGCGAGCGTACACACTGCTCCCCCTGTGAAAGCACCAAGCTAGAGGAGCAGCAGACACAATGGAGTGTTTAAGTATGCAGGAAACTTTATGCCTGGGTGGAAGAGGAGCTTTGAAGGAATCCGCTGAGGGACACCCAACCTCCCTCTGAACTGAGCCTGTGCCTCCTCATCAGAGTGAGAGAAAGAGAGGGAGAGAGAGGAAATGAAAGATAAAGATAGAGAGGACTAGATGGTAGGTTGGAAGGGAGACTGATGGAGAGAAAGAGGGAGAGTGCAGGAGGGGGAGCAGCAACAAGGTGCTTTGGTCTAGTCCCTGCGACTTGGGTACAATTGCTCTTGGTTAGGCTGATGCGTGGAAGTCCCTAACGGGCAGCGGTCACGTTGTTCTCAACCATACACACACACACGCGCGCACACACACACACGCGCACACACACACACACACACAGTGCCTGTTCATGTGAGCGCACTATTCAGTAGGCGCCGTGCTTAACTCCCAGTATGACCTTCATTGAGATGGATTGCATGAAAAATGTAATGACTTTCCTGAGAGAAAAACCACAGGCAAAATCAGCTTTGCATTGCATAATAATGCCGGACTTGGTAATCAATAACACAAACACACAAACACACATCCATAATGGAGTGCACAGCCTGCACATGGAGAAAATGTCTCAGCAGAGGCCAACAACATCACAATGGATGGAGCAAACCACCGGAGGTGAGCTGTGCGATGCATAAACAAGGAGCTATTGACGATAAATGCCTGCATCCATTTCCACCCATCAAACACTTCCCTAAGCTAACAGCTTACGTCTGGAACAACATGCAACTCCGAAAAAAGCTTTTCACACCCCGAATGTTTAGCTAAGGGTTATCTTTGGCGGTGAGTGAAGAGTGGTCCCAACCTAATCCGGCCTCATTTGTACATTGTACCACTTAGCCAGCAGCACAGTTTAAGTTTTCTATTGTTCATGCTGCACAAATGATGCTAATTTGGGCCAAGAGCAGAGTAAACTATATTAATGAGTGGTAGCCGTGAGTTTGTGTGAAATCGTCAACAGTCAAACCATACTAAAAGTTCTAAATGCGGTGAAACACGGACTAAAGCCCCTCAGTTACTTTGACTTAACTTACTTCTGATCTAATCCTCAGGGTCCTCGGTCACTGCTTTTGTTGTTTATACCTCACAGACAGCTTTTCACTTTCTCCTCTGCATGTTTTTTTGTTTTGTAGGACAACATTACACAACGTAACTAGAGCATCGTGTTCACACGTAACAAAAAGCAACAAAAAGAAGCAACTACGAGCCTGAAATGTGCCACACATTTAACAGCTTTCTATGGTTGCATAGCAACAATGTTAGGTTCAGATAACAATCTTTATCCTACTGACCATGGGGTGATTGAACCCAGCAACACTCCGCAGTGGAAACATTCAATCTGGAGCCTCATTTCTGGTTTCTTAGTCTCTTAGCCGTATATAGTTTTAGACCCAGGGGCCCCTGATTCCTGCGCCTTCACCCAGAGTTGTTTGGATTACAGAGCGAAATAGAAAGCAACACACCAAATGGGATGTATAGTCAGCGGGGTTTTGTGGCTGTGAGCTCTTTTTGCTGTTTCTTTCTTTCCTAGTGTCACAGTTTTAGGGTCCCATAATGAAAAGTTGCCAGTGTGTTTGTTTACCTCCTCTTCATCTCTCAATGTGACATTAGCTAGAGATGAGTCACCAGAAGAAACAGAGCTCCTCTCACTGCTACAGGTATTTCCCTCTCAAGTGTGTCTAAGTCTCACCTCGTTGGTGTTCCAGCGATGGCGCTCCTTGGGCAGAGAGGAACATTTGGGCAGACACTCTAGCAGCTTCTTAGGAAGGTAGATCTTCAACTGGCCCGGCTCATCTGGAGCAGCGGGGGGGGGGGGGGGGGAGAGGGGGTGAAGATAAAGGAAGATAAATGAGGGATGAGTAGGAAGAGGAGAGACATTTCTCATCAGACACAGAGACATTGTGTGAGGAGAATACCAAAAAAAACAAAAAAACAGCATCTCTGTGATCCGGATGGATGAAATCATAACACGCTTTTATTGTGAAGCCTATTTGACGGCTAATGTGACCTGAAGCCAGTCAATCTTGCACTTTTCCGGCCTATGAAGGACATACGCTTTGATTCGTTTGGGTCTAACTTGCTGGGCTTTCTGATTTATCAGAAACACAGCTGTGTCTGTGTTAATCTTATTTACTTAGGGGTGATTCACACTGATGTAGACAAGTAAGTTTGATGGCAATCAAGGTGCACGATACAAAATAATTGTTAAGTGTGCAGTGCGCAGAGGGAGTGGCAGCGCACTTATTTTGATATTTTGGCACCTGGGTCCCACCTGGAAAACAGATTTGGATTTGGAAGAAATCCATTATCATACATTATCAGTGCATTTGGGGTTTGTAACAATCACGGCCCATCACATCTCTTATCCCTTTTAAAAGCAATGCCCTCCCTACAGTGCTGCACAGACAGTTTGGTAATGGAGCAGAGACTCAAGTTTAGCTCCTCCTGAGAGAAAAACTAATATTCTTGTACCGGGAGCTGGAAAGTCACAACTGCAAATATACAGCAGCCCAAATGTTGCTACAGACAGGTGATGTTTATTCTGAAGTTTAAATCGTGCTCCTGGACATACTGTAATTCCTCTGAGCTCCATGTTGTTTTATTTAGAATCACTAAAGCTAACCACAGGTGAGTTAACGTAAGTTGGTAAAAATCTGTTATTAATCTTTACTTTCTCTGCTTTATTGCCTTAAAGGATGTATTCCATTTACCATCAACAAATCCCATAAAAAGTCCAAAATCAATTATGATCGATCGTAAGAATTATTCCCTGTGTAGCCAAAGCCTAACACAGAGTGTTCCTCACAGCCATAATCCGCTATTGCTGTCCAGAAATGGTCTTTTTTACATGAGTGAGCTACACCGTTGCACTGGGTGACTTGTTCCTTCATTACCATGAACATGGATACAGCGCTTTATTTTGAGTCAATCCTATAAACACCATTCTGCTGCTGTAAATACTCACTAGAGCAGTGTTTCCAAAACATTCTTTCAGGGGACCCACTTTAAAAAAATGGAATTTACAATAGGCCTTATCTATAAATCGTTTTGAGGGAATTTAAATAAACGTTCCTGACCGTCTTTACTGCCGTTTCCACATCAACTTATATTTATCTTGATTAGGTAAACCTGCCATTTAAAGAGCTATATGACAAATCCCAACTTTGTTTTGTGAATGTGTTATTATAAACACACATGTTAATTTATAAATGAGACCAAATAAATGCATTTAGGCAAAGTTAACAGACATCTAATTCTTTGAATTTCCTCTCATCAGTTAAACAAACAGAATGTACGCTAGCCTTTAATATTAGGTTCAATGTTATAAGTCGGCTACAATTATCAGAACACGAACATTCAAGGTCCCTCGTGTGGCTCAAAGGTGTACTGCAGAAATAAAGGTTTAATAAAAGACTATAAAAAAATCAGCAAATGTATTTGCCGACCCTAACAAAATCTCCTGCGACCCACCTGTGGGTCCCGACCCAGTCATTGGGAATGACTGCACTAGAGCACCAAATTTGCGGCTGAAAATAGTCCCCAATAAATGTGTTTGCTAAAAACTACAGTGCTCAGCAGTTTTGGAAGATGTTTAAAAGTGTTGAAAGATTTAATTCTTAAAGCCACGAACAAGACAGGGAAGTATTTCTGTGGAGATGAACCAACATATTATTGTTTGTTCTGGTCTTTTCATGGGATTTGTTGACATTGACAAAAATATATCGCACCTTATCCATTAATTAAAAAAAATAGAATATGCATGTTTTTTTCAATGTGACGGCTGGTGGAAGAATATATAGCTGAACAGGCAAGCAAAACATGGGAGACCTATGAGAGTCCCACTACCAGAACTAAACGGTGCTGCCCCCACTGCATCTCTCCTCCCACTGCGGAGCGTTTACAATCACCAACATACTGAATAGTTGCAGGTGAGGAATAGAAAAAATAATCCTACTGCGCCTCAGGAAAGTAATACTTCACCAGCACATGGCGTCCGCACAAAGATGGAGCCCCTGCTGTGTGTACGTGTGTGTGTGTGTGTGTGTGTGAGTGCGCCTGTTTGTGAGTGTGTGCCCAACGGGTGTGCCGCTCAGAAGTCAAAGAGAGCAAGCACTCAAAGGTTATTGATAAGCATTTGAGTAGAGGGCGTCCATTCATGACTCCCCTGGGAAGATAGAAATTATACTCTACCTGAGGGCAGACAACAGAGAGAAAAAGAGAGATAGGTGGGGTGGGAGGGGTCAGGAACGGGAGACAGAGAGAGGCGGGGGAGACAATGAGCCAGAGAGAGACAGTTAATGAAGAAAAAAGAAAGTTAGGAAGAAAGCGAGAGAGAGAAGATTTAGAAAGGACAAGAGATGGAACAAGGTAACACAAAGACGCCAAAGAGAGAAAAGTACTGTAACCGGACCGGAGTGGGGTCTATGTGCGTGTGTGTTTGTGCTCATGTGAGTGTGTAGGTGTCTGAGCATGTGTGTGTGTGTTTGTGTCGGTAGGAAGTGTGTTCAGGCACGTATGCCCCCCCTAATCAATTATGCATTTATTAATAGAAGGCCTGAGAAGACAAAATTTCAAACAGCTGAACTGTGCAGCAGCTTAGTTAAACAGCTGAATGGTGCAGCTTAGTTAAAGCCTAATTTCTTTTTTAGCAGCACTCCAGCCTCTCTGCTATGAATGCCAATCAGCGTTTAAACCCCACCCCTCCTGGCTATAACCTCCTCCCCTCCCCCTGCTGTTCTGAAGAATTCTCATCAGAGCCTCGCCTTTGAAATGTACCAGAACCACCACATCAAACAAGCCCGTCGCACATGCGTATATAGGCACACACACACACACACACACACACAAACACCCGCGCACACACACCCACACGCACGAACAGACTCACACATACACACACAGTGCCTGTCGATCAAAGCTAAGACATCACAGTATTTGTCCCAGAGTGGCGTTTTTTTATTTTTTTTTACCAGTGACCTTGGTACCGAAAATCCCTTTCAAAGCCCACCTTCACAGACACGACCGTCATCTTAGCCTATCCTCACATCGACTCCTCCGCGCTGACAAGAAATGCAAGACCAACTTTGCAGATTTGTTGAATGCTGATGAGCTTTTACACCCCAAAGGGTTGTATCTTGTATTTCTAACAATCCTGAACCAGCGAATGCGTCCCTGTTTTAAGAAAATTCAGCCTGGGTACTGTCGCAATTGTCTTTTCCATCTGTTCCGAATGGCTCTCTGTGGAGCTATACTGTGGTGTGACACGGGGCAAAAAAACTTCTCTTCCATTTGTGCCTACCCAGGAGAACGAACCAACCTGGGACACGGGGAAAACACATCTAAATATGTAAATTGAGTGCTGCTCACATTTATATTTGAAATAATGATTTAACAGCTTCTATACCTGCATTGCTTCATGTGAGTCCCTCAGCGATGAGCCACACATTTCTGGCCGTACATAGATCACTCACTCACTCGCTAATCTAGTAAAAAAAGAGTCCAAAAGAGTGACAAAACCTGAATGCTAATGTGAAACCGCTGGCTCATTAACTCATATAAAGGTAAGAAGTGAAAATGTTCGACCAAAGTGAACCATCGCTTTGGTTGCCTATCAAATGCCATAATTTAGACTGGAATCACACAGATGAGCAGCCTCTGACTGATGAATATTTTACCTCATAAAACTGTCATCTCCATATTTAACACAGAAACAAGCCAATGCCCTTGTGAGATGGCTGTCAGTTAATTATAAAACTCTCCTCAGTAAAGAGAGAGGAAAACGCTCCAAATGCAACTCTTAACTCTCCCCCTACTGATATTAGGAGGCGTCAGGGGAAATTTTCCCATTTTCCCCCTTTTCGGGATGAAATTAATGTGACAGAAAGAAAGGCTCATTGCACAGCAGCTAGATAGAGGGGTGGGAGGGCAGGAGGGAGAGCCAGCGAGAAGAAAAGGGGGGGAGCATATAGCACGGGATGAGCGAGAGTGCAGGAAGAGGGAGGGGGAGACGAGAGAAAGAGGGAGAGCAGGGGGCGGAGGGGGGGTGGGGGGTGGTAGAGAGATGGGCATGCATGCTAATTTTATCATTCTGCTGATAAACTTTTCCTCCAGTAATCCTCCAGCTGGGACGTGAGAACAGATAGGAGACAGGGGTAGTATAGTCTCAGCTCATATTAAACAGCCATCCCAAACACAACTCTCTGTTCTGTTCTATTCTATTGTTTTTGAGATTTTCTCTTAGTTCTTTATTTGCTATTTTGTCTCGCTCGCTCTCATCCCTCTTAACAAAATAAGAGGATTTGGTGCAGGTATGAGGCCAGCCGCTCCTTTTGAGAAGAAAAAGGGGTTGGGAGTGGGGGGGGGGTATACCCATAACCCCCACCACCACCACCTCACTAAGCAGCATGTCAGTCTGCTCCTCCTCACATCTGTGTATTTTCCTCCAATTTGTCCCCCTAACACACACACACACACACACACACACACACACACACACACACACACATTTACACAGAGGCAGAGACATGCATCTGCATCATGTCCTCAGAAATCAATAACAAATCAAAGCAATCATGGCCTTTATAGTCCCTCTAATACACCGCAGCAATCACACACATGCCCAGACAAAGTCGCACTCATACACGACCATGCGGCGACCCCAGATTACACACTCCATCTCACTTTTAGTTTAACCAGGCCCATTGAGGATTATAGACACATAATGCCATGTGTACAGATTAGGTATGACAATAAACTACTGATAGCCCGAGTAAGCCCTGCCTTCTCTATGGCTATGTGGAGTAATGTGTGTGCGTGTGTGTGTGTGTGTGCCCGCTAATACTGTACCGGCATGTATGAATAAACATGATGTGTAAGAGAGCTGCAATGGAATGACGTCTCAACACAGAGACACAGTGTGTGTGTTTGTTTTGTGTACGTGTGAGTGTGTGTGTGAGTGTAAGTGTGATCTGTTACAGAGCAGATGAGAAGGAGATCTCAGTCAGTTCCCGCATCACATCATTCTGCCAGAAGGCTTTTATAGTTGCTCCCAGAGTCACCCTGTGCCACAGACAAAGTGTGCACGCGCATGCACAAAACAGTGTGAAGAGTGCTTCTGCGTCTCTTACTGTTGGCGTCGGTGTCGTCACTCTTGGGAGGGGTGTGTCCTGTGTAACCGACGGCAATTCTGACCATTCGCTCTGGATTTCTTATCTTCTTCAGTCCTACAAAAAAGAGAGAGAGGAAAAAGGCCGAGCAAGAGACAAAGACAGAGACACATTTAGGAGACGCTCGAGACTTTTGGTTTCCTTGAGCAAGTTGCACACCTCGCTTCCTTCTTCCCTCCTTTAAGCCCAGAAACTCAGAGTGATATGCATGTGGGCTGATCCATTTTCTGATCCACTAACTGGCCTCCATTGTGTCCCCCTGATCGATTGGCCACAGTAGATACACTGCACTCCATGTGTGTGACTAACTTGTACCCAGCTTTAGTTTCTCTTCTCTCTCATCATTTCTCTGTTTCCCTGACCACTGTTGCTATGATACAAAGTAGACCAACCAGCACAGAGGGAGATGGTCTTCCAGGCTATATGGTGGATGTTGTTCTCATGCCCACTGGTACACTCTGCCGATCAGCGCCACACACACACACACACACACACACATCTGCCGGGGGATGGAACTGGAAAGAGTATGTATGTAGCTATCTCTGCTGCCTTCGTGACCACTGCGATCCATTTTGGCTTCCATTCAGCACAGCTGAAGCTCGTAAATGATTACATCGTCTGTACTCATAACACAGAAGGGGACAACGGACAAAAAATAAATCTCATACTGTGAATATGTGAGTCCGTTTGCGTGTGTGTAGGGATAGCAATGTATGGGCAGGGAGGGGTGGTTTTATATTTATGTGGTACAGTTCCTGCTGATCTGCCCATGGGCCATCTGTCTCATCTACAGATCTAGTCTTTACACGCAACGGGACTCTCAACCCACGGCCTTCCCTTTGCCTCTGGCTGCACTCCGCACGCTCGCCTGCACGCCTCTATGTATGCGTGTCTGACTCCCAGTGCTGTGCACCTGAACATGTGCCTTTTGAAATGTAGGATAGTACACTTGTGTAGCGCAAGTTATCCGAAAATTGCCCTGTTAAAAGAAATCTTTCTCACATCACTCCGTATAGTGGAGAGACGGTTAAAGACTCTTCCTGCCGTGTTCAGTGTCACTTTGCTGAGGAAGAGATCACAAGAAACAATTTCGAATAGTCTCATAATAATGTCTTCAGTGCTGTGTGACAGTTTAGCTCTTAAGTTGAGGAACTGCGTGTCATCCATAACGACACATTCATATGTTGGTGTTTGTTGGTTTATAAAGGGGGAAGTGACATCAGAGGAAAGAAAACAAAAGCGATACCAGACTACCAGGGTATGTTTATAAACAAATGTCTTTGCACTGAGTAATAAAAAAAGATTTCATTAACCTATGATTTGAGATGGAGATAACATTGCCATGGTGTTTGTGGTCACCTCTTAAATAATTCATGAAAGAATGAATAACAGTCTGAATGAAATGGTGGCTGTGTGTGACGATAATGACCCCCACGAGTTTAACTGAGGGAGTTAAAATGTAAACTACATTTATACATGACCTAAAACTGAGACCCCCCCCCTCTCCTCTCCCCAAAGGCATCCAGATTCTCACCTTCACTGCCTTAGCAACCATAAGCACACATCAAATGAACACAAACATAAACACACACATACACACACACATTCACACACCCACACAACATTGGAATGTGACTAAATAAATGCACAGCTGGTCTGGGAGCTTGCGTGCATGTCAGGAAAGTATAAATCTACAATTCAATGGTCTATTTTATGCTCAAAGAGAGATACAGAGACAGATAAACACACACGCACGCACGCACACACACACACACAACACACAACACACACACACACACAGAAAGCATCTGAATTCCTTCAGCGTGAACCACTCTCATCCTCTCTCATCCCCATCCCTTTTATGCTAAATGCTTCATAAGCACTCATAAACCAGCTGCTCAGGGGAAACGCTGGCAAGCGTCGGACGGTGAAAAACTACCCTATACCCCGACTCACTTGGAGCCTACACCGACGGGACAACTCTCCTTCCGTTATTTATTTGCTGTCGGTTAACCGTGCTCCACACAGTCGCTGGTTCAGCACCTGCGTCCGTGTTTTCGGGACGGGCTAGAAAGGGAAAGCCCTGCCGTTATCTCTCTCCATCTCCATGCCTCGTCCCTGCATCGCCTCGTCTGAACCCCGAATAGCGGGACTCTGCCATCGCAAATAAAAACCGTTATTTCTCTCTTACCTTCCGGCTTGTTTTCGGCAGCCATTTCCCCTCCGCCGCGCGCCTCATCCCTCCTCCTCCTCCTCTTCCTCTTCCTCCTCCTCCTCCTCCTCGACTCGACCTAGTGGTGGTGGAGGTGGTGGGGAGTGGGGGGGGGGGGGACCACGCGCGTGCACAGAGAGGACAGCTCAAGGAGGGGGGCGGGGCTGGGAAGAAGGGAGGAGAGGGGGGGGGGGGGGGGGGGGGCGAGCCTGCCGCGTTAAGCGAGACTATTGGTTCAAACGGTGAGGATGGACGGCGGAACTCTCCATCCCTCCGTTTGTTCCCGTTGGCCCCGCCCCCTCTGACGTTCACGCGCACTCTTCCTCGCTCTCTCTCCCTTCTCACGTCACTGAACGACGTCTGTATTCGAGGACACCTTGACAGCCTCCCACAGCATCATCATCACCATGCTCATCATCGTCTTCTCCCTAACACACACACACACACACACACACACACACACACACACACACACGCACACAACGTAGGCCTACACACACGTAGCCACATTACAGACACACATACCAACGCGCGCGTTCATTTCTCCACATGCAAATCCAGTGGACTGTTGACAAAATGCGATGTAAGGTCGCGTCTCGCCATAAATGATGAACTCCTCTTGAATCTAAATGAGGAGAACTGCCCGATAGAGCCTCTGATGCGCGATTTTTTTAGATGGCTTGGCGGGTGCTGTCATTCGATGTGGTGCTGAAGCTCGCGGTGCTGAAAGGACAGCTCCACACAGCCTGCGCGCACTCACCAACTGCTTTCTTTGAGCCTTGTTATTGAATTGAAGTGATAATATAGGTCAGGTGCCCCCCCCCCCCTCCCCTTGTTATCTATTTGACTCTATAGCGGGATATCGTTGTAACATTGTTGTAATATTCCTACGGGAAGTTTGTAACAAACCTATCAACATGTTCTCACCAAAAGGCTATTTATTATTCTACCGTTTTATGCTATTCCTTCTAAATAGAGGGGTTCAACTGGGACCATTATGTTATTGTTTCAAATCCACTCTGTCACTCTGTGCCTCGCGGTAAAATATTGCCTTTGCACCAAAGCCTTGCGTTTGACACACAATCCTCTCTGTTGACATGCTTCTCGGAAAACTAAGCTTTTGAACGGTTCATCTCCAGCTATATGCTGTGCGTATATAGCCTTGAAGTGCAGAGGCACACAAGGCTCTTCAGAGACAGAGTTAAAGCAGGATGAATGAGAAACACATGTAAGATATTTAGCCAGAAAAAAGGAAGATCAATTTAAACCTTCAAAAATGACAATTGTCATTTCATAAACAACAAAGCTGTGGACTACAATGCACAAGTTTGACAGATACTTTACTACAAATTACTACTAGAAATTTCAAACTGCAATATATATATAAACAAATATATAGAACTAAATTAGTGGTGTAGTGGTGGTGAAAAGTAGGAACATTTACTTTCTGTACTGAAGCCTAAACATTTGAGGCATCTGTTTGACCAATTAAGAATGGTTTAATAACAACACTTTTCTAATGCAAATATTCTGTGTTGTATGTCATTCCATAGTTTTGAATTAGGTGTTATTCATAACACAATACTGTACATTTCATCCCAAAACAAGATGAGACCCTGAAAACAAATGTATTTTTATAGATGAAGCTACCTAACCTAGCTACCTAGCTTCACCATAATAGGCAACATTGAAATTCTGCATAGGTTGATGCATCACTAACAATAATCTGTATATTAATGTATAGAATGGTGGAAGAAGTTTATAGATCCTTTACAAAATACAAAAAAAAAATACTCCTTTACAAGTAAAAGTCCTGCATTCAAAATTGTACTTTAGTAAAAGTATTGTGAGCAAAATGTATCGCTCCTGTCAGTAGCATTTAATTTGTTTAAAAATGAGCATTACTGTAGCATTTAAACGTTGTACGGTGCTTCAGTATGTACTTAGTTACATCTCACCAGTTATATAACAACATGCCCAAAGGGGGCATTCTGCAAAATGTGTACTTTTTAGTTTAGTTTTGATATTTTTAAGGGAACACCACCTAAAATTAAGAATTTCAACATGTTATTTCCATGCCCTATTGGGAAGTTCAATCAATATTTGTGACCATGAGCTGCTCTCTCTCAAAGCTAGATGAGCTTCATTTTATTGGGGTGTTCTCAGTACTGTAAAAGAAACTGCCAGCATATACTCAGAACATCTCAGTGTCCTTTACAACATCTCTCCCAACGGTAGTGTTTTCAGTGAAAAAGAAAAGAGAAAACGTGTTTACACTCTGCCAAATACAAAACCGTCTAAAAAGTAAGAACACTCTTCTAAATCGTTCTTGTATGGAGGTATCAAATCTGTCAAAGCTCTGATTTCGAACGCAAACACACCCAGCAGAGGGCGACAGAACAACTTCCGGTCCCAACTTGACTGTCCAATGAGCTTCCAGATCACTGGACGGGTGGGCGGGACCATACCAAACGCAAACATGGCGGCGTCCTTAGATGATGATTTTGAGTTTGATAACCAGGACTACTACTCTCTGCTCAACGTCAGGAAAGAGGTATGGCTCATTCAGGTTTGCAGTGAAACCGAATGGTGACGGAACTTTTCCCGTGACTGTCGGGTAGATTTCCATTGAGAAACTGCTCTACAGTCGGTGTATCTCCTCCTCCAGTTCAATAACGGGCTTCTTCATCAGCACCATCATCCGTGGAGGTTGACACCGGGTTGATGCAGCAGAGGCATGATAAGCAGGACATTTCAGCATCTACTTTACTTGAATGCAGGCGGTGTTTGCACATTAGAGTGTGTTTGCAAAAATAACGTCTGCTCCGATGAGCACCTTCTCAAATCAGGCCTGACAAGGACTTGTTCTTGGACGTTCAACAGGATAATGTTAGACACCATATAGCCTAACAGGATTTAAGCTGTCATTCTTTTAATTCAGTGTTTAAATGTCAGTGAACTGTAGCTGCTTTTCAATCTCCTTAAAAATAAGATGCTTTACTGCAGCAGGTTTGTGTCAGCACCCAGGAGTGGAGCTGGAATTACTAGTTGAATTAGTTGAACTGAGTGAAAATTAATATGCAATTATTTTTCAAGAAAAAATGCAACAAAATAGCTGGTTCCAGCCTCTCAAAAGTCAATCAACAATAAATCAACAAAGTATTTTTGTCGGATTAATCAATGATGAAAATAAGTGTTAGCTGTAGAACTTACTCAGTGGTGAGACCTGCCCCGCTTTCTTGTCACAGGCTACATTGGAGGAGCTAAAGGCTTCATATCGGAGGCTGTGTATGCTCTACCATCCCGACAAACATCGAGACCCAGAGCTGAAAAGCCAGGCCGAACAGCTTTTCAACCAGGTGCACCAGGCATATGAAGGTAAGGACGCTTGGCCTGCAAGTATGCACCAATTGGGATTTAAACCATTTAGTTCAACATTTTTATTGATATTGTTCTCAGAAAACAGACATTTAAAGCACAACAAAATCCAGACAGAAACACAAAACACCGACATAAACTGAACTGTTATTTCTCTCTTTCCCTTCAGTGCTAAGCGATGCTCACTCCAGAGCCATCTATGACATCTTTGGGAAGAAAGGGTTGGAGGTGGAAGGCTGGGAGGTATGTATTGTGTCTAACATAAAGCTTTTGTGGTTTTGCTGCTACATTATACATACTTAACATATCTTCATTACCACTACCGTATGATGATGATGATGATGTGTAGGTGGTGGAGAGGAAGAGAACTCCAGCAGAAATTCGAGAGGAGTACGAAAGGCTGCAGAGAGAAAGAGAAGAGCGGAGACTGCAGCAAAGAACTAACCCCAAGGTGTTCTCAGTCACAACTACACTGCATTCATCTGTCAACTTCACCACTTTCAGTGTATTTCTCGTGTGGGCTATTCAGATATTACTAAATACATTGTGTAAAACAATTACACTTTGGCCCGTAGATGGTTTCCACATTCATTTCATTATGTCCGTCACCCTTTTCCTTCTCTCTTAATTCATTCTGTCAATCTCTCCCTCTTCACTCACTCGTTGTTCAGGGCACAATCAGCGTGGGTGTGGATGCAACAGACCTGTTTGACCGCTATGATGAGGACTTCGAAGAGATGCCAGGAGGGGGATTTCCTCATATTGAAATCAACAAGATGCACATTTCCCAGTCCATAGAGGTACAACAAAAAACACACACTCACTTAGCGTTTGCCTTCCACACGGCTTCTTACCTAAGCCAGGGTCTCTGTAGTACTGTCTTGTTTCATCAGGCGTAACTTTCCTGTCTCTCTTCAGGCTCCTTTGACGAACTCTGACACAGCAGTGCTGTCTGGGTCGCTCTCTACACACAATGGGAACGGAGGGGGCAACATTAACATGACCGTACGGAGGGTTACTTCAGCCAAGGGCTGGGGAGAGGTACACACACATGCATATAAAGTGCATGTGTTGAATAGGATAAGGACAGATTGTTTTAGTAATTTTGCCACAGATTTGCCCGCATGCAATCACATGTTTCTGTGCATGTGTCTCTGTAGGTGGAGTTGGGTGCAGGAGACATACTTGGACCTCTCATTGGGTTAAAGGTGTTTCGCAACCTCACTCCGCGGTGGTAAGACCTCACTGTTTGACTAAAATACCTACTCTTTCAACACTATTCTCTGGCTCTTTTAATGTCCTCTCTTTTACCTCCTCTCTGTGCAGTTTCTTGACAGCCCAGTGCGGTTTGCAGTTCTCTCCTCGAGGTTTGCGACCAAGCTGTTCCCTGATGACCGCACGCCACCTGGACCAGAACACCATGGGTTACCTGCAGTGGCGCTGGGGGCCCCACAGCGCCATGACCACCAGCCTGGTCCGAGACACAAAGAGCAGCCATTTTACTCTAGCTCTGCAGGTACACACAAACAGAAGCGCAAGAACAGATGCATTTACACTGTAGACAGGCAGGTATATACTGTACAGTGCACCGCTACCTGCTGTCAAAACTGTTGGACTTACTTAACCCTGATATTTGCTATAATTTCACTCTATATACTAATATGCGATTCTCTCCCTACACCACCTCTTCCAGCTGGGCGTGGCTCATTCCTACCTGATGATGAGCTACCAGTACAAGTTCCAGGACGAGGACCAGACCAAAGTGAAAGGCTCTGTGAAGTACGTCTGTCTGCTTATCCGTTCTCCAGAGACTTATTGTCTGTTAATCAGCTGGTTTACCGGGCAGGCAGTGTGCAAAAATCTGGCAATGCAAACAAATTATATTCTAATAATAGGCTGAAGTAATTTCCTTGTCAAAGCAACAGAAATTCAATTAAAGAAACTGCTTCACTCTGTCCTACTCTGCCTGTGTTACTGACATCAGTAGCTGCCTAACTCTCATGGTCTCTGTTCATTTTTGTGTTCCTCCATTTCCAGGACGGGCTGGTTTGGCACTGTTGTGGAATATGGAGTAGAGAGGAAGATCAGCCGACACAGTGTCCTGTCAGCCACTGTCAGCATCGGGGTCCCTCAGGGAGTCACACTCAAGATCAAGTACTGGTCACCCCAAAATATGATCTCATTCTCTCACGGGTTCTTATCTGCCTGCATCGTTCTCTAATGTGTGTGTGTGTGTGTGTATTTGTGCTGGTGTTTCCGTGCAGGTTGGCGCGTGCCAGTCAGACGTACCTGTTTCCAGTCCATCTAACGGACCAGCTGCTGCCCAGTGCTGTCTTCTACGCCACTGTGGGACCCGTGCTGCTCTACATGGCCATCCACAGACTGATCATCATCCCATACACACAAGCACAGAAAGAGCAGTCAGTACCACTCCTGTCCTCATCACCTCTCACACTCAATCAGCATCTGACTTTGCCAAAAACTTGACAGGGAATGGATCTTAACTTACCGTTGACCAACGTTCCCCTTAAGTTTTGCATATTTTTTTTTTTAAACAAAGTTTAGATAGTTTGATTATGGAACTACACGGCACTGAGTTGGGCAAGGATACAACATTTTGGGAGGGTTTCTCTCACACTGGCACTGTCATCACAGACAGCCTCCACAGTGAATCCCAGTGGGTGATTGTTGATGTCTGCTTTGTGCTTCTCAGAGATCTGGAGCTGCAGAGGAAGAGCTCAGCCACAGACATCGCCAAGAAGAAGCACGAGGCAGAGTCTGCTGTGAGTATTCGCATGCATGCGTGTGTGGCATTGATTATTGTTTCTAGGTTCACTCCTCATCTTGTCTGAAAATCTCTCTCCTATCCTGTTGTATTTTTGTTCTCCTCCACCCCTCCTCCTTTGTCTCCCTTGGCTCCTCTGCAGGTTCTGCTGATGCAGGAGTCTGTGAGGAGAATCATAGAAGGGGAGGAATCCAAGATGGGTGAGGAAACACACACACACACACACACACACACTCAGACGCTACACTAGGGTGCGAACTGAGAACCTTTTTTTTTTTTTAGTTTGCAGCCAAAACTTCGTAAAAATCTAAATGTGTAATTCTAACACCTGCTGAAGCTCCAGGATTCTTTTTTTTTCTTCTAAGCCTGACATCCGTCATCTGCTGCTGTGAAGCAACGTCTGACGATGTCGCCCATCTCCATGCTGCAATGTTTAAATAGGTTACGCTTGTAAATCTGTGCCGTGTACACTGGCATAAATCAAGACTGTAATTTCAGTGTGCTAATGGATGTCCTGTTATATTTGTTGAGAGCGGTGTTTATGAGGCGTGTTCACAGCACTTTCTAGATGCTCTGTCCAAAAAGGAGAGGGAGACATTGTTATATAGTAATGATATCAAGCTATAGTAGCAGGACTGTTGTTGTGCCACAGCTTATATCATTATCGTACCACAATATCGTATCATTGTGCACTCCTCATGTCTGTCATATCCTAGAATTACTCCAGTCTGTCTGTACTGCTCTCTGTTTTGGGCATCATAATTCATATGTAAACACAGCTGAAGTTATATGAAAGCATGAAACGCTTACATTGTATGTCACTGTCTAGGTCTGATCATCCTGAATGCCTGGTATGGAAAGTTTGTGTCAGACACCAGCCAGAAACAGGAGAAAGCAAAGGTCATCGATGTCACCGTGCCTCTGCAGTGCCTGGTCAAGGACTCCAAACTCATTCTCACCGAGACCCCCAAGGTGTGTGTGTGTGTGTGTGTGTGTGTGTGTGTGTGTGTGTGTGTGTGTGTGTGTGTGTGCGTGTGTGTGCTTAGTTACATATCATTTTTAGTCCATTTGACTATCATAAATCTGTGACATGCGTATGCATTGTTCAACTGTGTGCAGGCAGGGTTGCCGGGCTTCTACGACCCCTGCGTAGGAGAGGAGAAGAGTCTGAAGTTACTGTACCAGTTCAGAGGTGTCATGCACCAAGTCATCTGTGCAGACACGGAGTCACTACGGATACCCAAGCAATGTTAGTATGCAGCCACTCTACCCCAGAAGACCCAGTGTTATAATCACGTACCTGCACGCTACTACAGTAGACGCATGCAGCCATGTTCAAATGATTTCTTTATTTTTGTCTTTTCAGCTCACAGAATTGAGCCCGAGTCCTAGGAGCGCACCACTGTTGTAGCATCAAGAGGGCAAAATCCAGATAAAGCAGACTTTGTGTCAAATGATGAACCCAAGAATGG